AAGGCTCAATGGTGTTTGATAACTCAAACCAAATCAAGAAGTATTCACAACAGCGTCTGTTTATAAATTRTTGGATTATTGACCCGCAAATCACACGAAATATAGACTTGAGCCGCCTGATATTCGCTTGTCCAGAAGTAAAGGAAAAGTTTTAATATACTAGTAAATATAGAAATCTTTGTGGAGACATAACGAGCTCAGAGAATTTTCTAATTATCGAATTTCGATAGCGTTTACATTTCGTGTGCAAATGGTGGATGACAATGCAATCCACCATTGTTGTCTAATCCATTAAACGATCGTTTTTTGTGCCCTTTAATTTGGAATTTTTTTAAAAACCCGTGTTAGAAGATAAAGAAAGGAAAGCAAAGGGGCAGATAGTAAGCAAGAAAGGAAAAGAGACGAAAGGAAAAGAAACGAAGGGAAAAGAGAAAGAGGAAAACTTTGATCTTATGAAAATGTTTATTCTAAAAGTACCATAATACAAAAGAAAATACTGAAACACCAACATAACATGATATATATACAAGTTGTACTGTATCTTTAGATTTTGTAAAGTAAGGAATTGTTTATAAAGAAATCCTGGTTCGTTTAGACACAAGTGACTGAATTACTTTGGATTATAAAGGAGCCCATCTCTGGGTAGCTTTTAATATCTTTATCAGGCTAATATGACTTATCGGACAATAGTCCATTTCACGGTTACCTGGACGCCATATTGGATTTGCACGAAAGCGAGGCTGACCTTGAGTCGTCTGGAAAGGCTTGAAAAGTTTATACTGTAGTTCCGGTAACTGTTCAAGTAAAAATGAGCTCAAAACGTTTGAAAAACGAGAGAAAAAGCGTAGGTCCGCAATGTGCTGCCTATGGCTGTACGAACGCTTTTTATAAGAATCCAGACTTGAATTTTTTCTCTTTCCCAAGTGACAAATCAAAGCAAAATCGATGGTGTAATCTTATAAAGAGACGGCACGGCCATGATGGTTTCTATATCACGAGGTCAACAGTGGTTTGCAGTAGTCATTTTTCGGAAAAAGACATTTATAAAACATTAACTGGGATCAAGAAACTAAAAAAAGGTAAGCTTAAAGCTAAACTTGCGTTTTTTCTTGGTGATATAAGCAAACCGGATCAAGCAAAAGATTTATTATTGTTTTTGAAAACTACATCATGCAGACGCGGAACCATCGCTTGGTCATCAATGGAGTAAACCTAAAGATACCAACAAAAGAGCACTTCCTAAATCAAGAGAAGTTGAGATACTGGACAAAAGAACTGAAGATATTGTAACTAGTTGTAATATCGAAGAGGATGTTGAAGTTCCAGTGGAAAACATCGATAATATGGAGGTAAATGTGTTATGGCAATGTAACTTACATCTCAATAAATTTTTACTCACTTTACTTTGTGAGCTTTGGAGATTAATAACTAGTGTTCCAATTTACCTTTAGGACTACCAAGAAAACTCTCAGGATGAACTTATAAAAGAGCTAAGGATGCAAGTAGATGGACTTCAGAAACAAGTACAGTCATTAAACGATGAATGTCAGTATCACAAGAGCAAATATTTTTCTCTCGAAAAATATAAAGATGATGATAACGCCATCTCGTTTTACACAGGATTTGAAAATCATAATGCACTAGTAGCCTTCTACAGATATCTTGAGCCTAAAGTACAGAATTTGCAGTATTGGAAAGGTGAAAAAAATTTAAAGCTGTCTACAAGATATCATGAAAATAATGTAAAAAAGAAACCTGGTCCTACCAGAAAACTTGATGGTTTAAATGAACTATTCATGGTACTTGTCAGATGAAGAGTTGGATTGTTTTTAACTGATCTTGCAGATAGATTCGGAGTTAGTCAGTCATTAGCTTCAAGCATATGTAATACTTGGATTGTCTTTTTAAGTCATGAACTGAAACTTTTGTTTCCTTTCCCTTCTCRAGACCTTGTGAGAAGAAATATGCCTGCAGAGTTTAACAAATATCCCACCACCAGAGTAGTGTTAGACTGTACAGAAGTTTTTATAGAAAAACCATCAGCAATGATTGCGCAGTCCCAAACTTGGTCCCAGTACAAACATCATAATACCTGGAAACTGTTGGTAGGAGTATCCCCAAATGGACAGGTGACCTTTGTAAGTGAGGCTTGGGGTGGTAAAGCTAGCGATAAACAAATCACCAAAGAATGTGGTATTCTTAATTTAGTAGAGGCAGGAGACAACCTCATGGTGGATCGTGGCTTTGAGATAGATGACATTGTCCCCTTGGGAGTAAAAGTAAACATGCCACCATTTCTTGGGAGTAGAAGTCAGATGGCGGCAAGTGAGACAGAACAAACAATGCGTATTGCATCTGTTCGCATTCATGTTGAGAGGGTTATTCAAAGGATCAAGTCATTTCATATTTTGGATGGAACATTACCTAACACTATGGCACCATGGATCAACCACATCTTCAGTGTTTGTGCCAGACTGACAAATTTTTGGCCACCCCTTCTTCCCCCAGCTAACTTAAGAAAGAGCTGATATTAATACCTGAAAAGTAACTCTTTATTAACATTTAACATTAATGTAATGTACATGTATATAAGTATTAAGATAACACTTGTTTGAGTGTTCTGTTGCAGAAAAAAGAAGCTATGAGATGTATGTACAATGTAMAAAAACATTTATATGTTTACTATAATTGTGCTTGTTTTAGGGCACAGCTAGAGTGGTTTTCCTTTTATTATGAAAGAATGGGCTAACTATTAGCACGTCTGAAACCCATTGGTTTTTGGTCTTGATTAACTGAAGCCAAATAGTCATTTTTACTTTTGAAAGCAAAGGAAAATCTCTCTTTTCTATTATTTAGTGCTATAGGGTTCCCATCCCCCATGTTGATACAGGATGCTGTTTCTTTGAACTCGYCTGGTAAGTAGTTCTGGGAGGTATGCTTGCTTGTAAAAATATTCTATTTTTGGAAGTGTGTGTGCTTCCCATTCCTTTTCTTTATAAATCCTTTCAATATAAAGAGGAATGTTCTCTCCAAAGTACATAACAAAGTCAACATATTCTAGCTTGAGAACAAACATTTGTCCTTGTACCTGATGATAATAATTATGTTTTCTTTTCAACTGAACGTTACCTTCATGATTTTGCAAGCAAAATGTCTTGTCTTTTGTGACTTCATCCAAAGTTTTACCCATCTTACTCACTGGACATTTAACTTCAAGTCCCCATATTTCCCYAGTGTCTTTGTTGATGATCAGTCTATCAATGCTTGATCCAAGGTATGGCTTTTCTTTTGATATCATAAGTCCTGCTTCTTTAGATTCAAGACCAAGACCCTGTTCACTTTTTACTTTAAGGTAAGTGGATACTACTTTAGCTTCATTTTCCAAACCATATTGCATGGACTCAGTTTTTATATCAGAATAGCTCATGCTTTTAAGTTTCTTTGATGGCTCAACTTGTGTTTTAGCTGCTGATCCAAAGTTTGATGAAGTTAAAAACTCTTTTCTTTTCTTTTTCCAATTTTCATTTTGAGACTGACCTCTAGTATTAGCTTCTATTTCTTCAATTTCTTTATCATTTAAAGTCATATTTGACACATGTATGTCAATCATCTCTTTAAATGCATTGCTTGAGATATCATAGCTATCACCAAAGGGTAAATTTAAGAAATCCTCTCTCTCAGGTGGTACAGTACTGTCACTGGAAGGACACAAAGAAGTGATATCATGAAATAAGAAAAAAGAACTTGATTGAAGGCAGTTTTGTAAATCATAACAAAGAGCATTAAAACTTTCTTGGTTTATCTGTCTTTGATGCATTGCTCGGGGGTCATGACGAATAACTTTTGTGGTAGTACGAATGTTTTTCTTTCCAAACTGGATTTTTCGRATCAGAACTTGATCAGCTGGCTTTGCAGCAACACTTTGATTCCTCGGTACCACCCACGTTGAAAGACGGGAAGTACAGGACAATGGCTCTTCGTGCTTTTGTAGGTCTTTTCGGGAGAAGTCCTCTATCGCAAAAATAAGTCCTCCTATATGATTGCATTTACCTCTGCCTTTCCCGCCCAGCCCTGCCGGACAGGTGCAAGTCGCCCTTTGGATGTCGTGCTCTTTTGAGAATTCTACCAAAACTTGATAGCATTTTTTCCTCATAGAAGCTATGACATTTGCTTTTACGTATGTGTTCTCTCCTGTATTCTCAGCGATCTCAATTCTACGAATATGTCCTTCAAAAAAGAACTGGTACGACTTGAGCTTTTTGTAGTTTGTGGCTTTCAACACAATATGACGATATTTTGATGTTTTAACTACCAAATACTCGTAGAGCTGTAGGAAGTTCATTTTTGGCAGTTTTCTCAAGTCTTTCGACCACATAGTTGGCTCAATTTCCTTTGTTGCACTTTCGAAAGTGTAATCTTTGTAAGTAGTTGCCTTAATTCTTGAATTTTTTCCAGTGGTCACTCTGGGAAGGACCGTCTTCATCAAGATAGCATAAACTCTCACAATTAAATCTGCCTTAACGCCAGAGCATGACTCTGAATATGACCGCAGAATCTCTTTCAATTCGTTGACTTTTAGTGCTTGGATATCTTCTAGCGAAAGAAGTTGTTTTCCCCTAAAGGTGATCGGCATAATTAACCTTGTTTCAGATAATAATTCTCTTTTAAGTAAAAGATACTTAAAAGTATCAATTTTGGCGAACACGTTCTTGCTCCACCTTTCCAGACGACTCAAAGTCAGCCTCGCTTTCGTGCAAATCCAAGATGGCGTCCAGGTAACCGTGAAATGGACTATTGTTTACAGTCAATATTCTTACATATGTTTGTGATATATCCCAAGAAAAGGGTATTTTATATATTATGACATCTCCTAGCCTCTAAGTTCTCTGTTAGATCAGGGTTTTAGATGTTACTCATATGATGGTGGGGATTTCCACGTGCCTAGAGAAACAATTAATCACGAGTCACGTAGTATCCCAAGAAAAGGGTATTTTTTTTATATTATGACATCTCCTAGCCTCTAAGTTCTAAGTTAGAGCAGGGTATTAGATGTTACTCTAATATGACGGTGGGGATTTCCACGTGCCTGGAGAAAGAGATCAAACACGAGCCACGAAAAAAATGTAATGCATAACTGAGACACTGCTGATCACGCTCCAAAAGAACCCGATCGCACACCTGATATGACATCATAGTCGACATGTTGGATCGGAGGTATCTTCCAACATGGCTGCCACGTCTCATTTCCTACTGTTTTGCAACCCAAGAACTTAACCAACACAAACCCTGCTATATTTTAAGAAATTATAGATCTTTGTATAGGGTCGCTAAGATGTAGATCTAGGAAGACGTTAAAGAGTGAGTGGTGGTCAGTGGTTGTGGCGTCGTATCTATCTTGACTCTCTTTGATCTATCTTGACCCTTCTTGGCTGTGGTTTTGCCCGTTGTATGGTCACCTCCACGGCTTGATGGATTCTGCGCATAGCGAGTTACTGTGGAGACGCCATCAACGAACTTGGTCTTGAAGAGAAC